CTGTTCCTTAGACATCTTTCTTCTTAGATCTTCCAAGCTCTCATCTCTCTCCTTAAGCCTTTTACTTCTCTTTTCTCTGTTTCAGTAGAAATCTTTAAATCAGCCCTGAAAAAATCAAGGTTTTCCTTCATTTCCTGAGCTCTCTCATCCACAACTCAAGCTGGCTGCCTCCCTGTCTCTCCCTGCATAGGTCCCCCTCCTGCCCCCCTAAGTCTCCCAATGCCTTACTCTCTCACCCTTCTCACGTCCCAGCACATCAGCTTCCCACACTCCTTCCAGAATCTTTGGGGTCTTCCTTCCCTGGGTGTCCTGCCTGCTACAAAAATGCCTATTGGCTGCGCCTGGGGAGGGATGGGATCCACCTGGAAAACTGACCTTCCACCCACACCTCTCCTGCAGGGAATGCGCTGGAGTATTCTGCTTCAACTACTTCCATCTGAGGTGGGGCAGGCTTAGGGTCAAAGGTTCCAGAAGGTGACAGCTCAAACCCTCCTATGAGAAGGGTAAAGAGAGCACCTTTTTCTGGGAGAACCCTTGCACTGTGTGGGCAGTTGCAAGTATGGTGGCACATCCCCATTGTGAACTTTGGGGATCTGAGGCAGTACCTCGTTCAGGAAACACCCTTTATCAACTCCTGCTCTAGGTTTCTACTTCAGAACATTCTCTAGCCTTTATCATAGAAGACTCCATTTTTTCCATTGGCATTTTTTCATTAATTATTATACTGTTGGTGATCACCACAAACTCCTCTGTCCTGAAAAGCCTGACCTCTCTGCCACCTCTATTGCTATCTTTGCACACACTGCTGGGCCTCTCGAAGGAGAATCCTGTGCTCTAACACCCTGCTCTCCAACCTCAGCTGCAACCCAGTCAGTCTCTCTGGTCTACCATTTATGAAGCACTGATGCCACTTTCACTCAATGGGTATAGGGCAATGCAAATTCTTGTCTGCTGTTGATTTTCTTCCTATTCACCCCAATTTCCTTCTCTGTACATGAGTTAATTTTAAAGCTCCCAAATTTACATAAGAATCTTGTCTAACAGACAATTAAAGTTTGTTGATACAATGATTAGAGTGAACATACTATAAAATCTGTGAACAACCGCTCCCTGGTCTAGCAGCCCTGAGAGTAAAGCCATCTGCCGACTTGAATTTGTGAAGCAGTTATGCAAAATCTGCTGCCTGTGGGTAACGCCAGCCTTTTTCAACTCCCACTAATGGATAAGAAGTTTTAAATAATGGGTACTCAGCCTTGCATCTCCACAATGCAGTCTTTAGAAAGGAAGAGATAAAACCCCAGCATTTCCTTTCTCTGCACAGATAGCATCAACACATCATTAGTTCAGAACAATCAGAACTTCTTAGAACCGTGGTCAAGAATAATTACATTTTTAATGTAAATGACTCACGGTTCCTTCCTATGTAAACTAAATTCAAATTTGTGTTTGTGGCAAGTTCTTGCAAAGTAAAATCTGTTAGACTACTTTTTGGGTTCGAATCCTCACTTTCATTATCTACTAAGCTCTACCTTTGAGACTTTTATTCTAGTAAGCAATACTGAGATTCTGAAAATCAACCTTGAGAGAAGGAATAACGGCTTGAAGGGTTTATGTGCGCTCTCACAGTCACCTGGGTAACAGAATCTGTTATAACAATTGAGAAATCATTCTGCTGAGCTCTTGCAAAGAAAGGGGGGAAATATGTTGAAGAAACCATACCCACAGAATTGGTTAAAATCAGCCAACCAGGTAGGCGGGGGAAGCAGGCAACCCAGTTTGACCCTGGCCTCATTTAAGTACTAAACATCACATCCAGAGAGCTAACATTAATGTGAGACATGTAATCTGTATGCAAACATGCAATAAAAGAGCATACGTGCAGCCCAGTGCCCAAAAGAAATCCACCCCATACACCACCCCCTTCCGCATCTTCGGGCTGCTTCTCTCTGACCCTTGGTGAGGTGGACTTTGGAACATGAGTTCCCCTGCTCTACGCTTGTCATCCTTTACCAGGCCTGGTTGCTGAATTATTGGCTGACAATCACTAGGCGAGTCACCTTGTAGAGGCTCTGTAACACAGACATGCAGGTAAGGCTGCTCAAAGACTCCTCTGGGTTTACTCAGTGACTTGGGAGTAACTGTGATAAGATTATAACCCTCCACCAAGTTCTACTCTCAAGACAGAGCATGTAGAAGCCACCACAGGCAATGATATCAAAAGAAATAAGCAAGTAGAGACAAATGCAGCAGCTTTCAACATACTACTGAAAGTTGGTCCAAAACTTCCTGGTTTACTGGAACTAAATACAGCTGCAGCTTCCTTTATCATCACACATTTGTCCTAAGATTTCTAGAGAGCTCTAGCTTGAATTTCTGATATTCAAATGTAGGCAAATCTGAGGTGTCTGTGCTGGAAAGTGTCAGAGTAAAACACAAACCCTCTTCAGTTTACTTTTTCATTGCCAGGATTCTTCACAGTCCACATTCTTCAGAGAGTGACTGCAAAAGAATTTCTTTCAAAGGACTGAATACATCTCTTTGGGAGAAGAGATTTACATATTAAATGTTTAAAAAATTTCCATTTAGTTACTATAGTCAATTTTTTGTTTTTCAGTTTCCAATTATTATTCCAGGCATAGACTAGTCACCATGATTTCTATGCCAGTACTGCTATACATGGGATGATTTTACTTTTTGTTAAGGCAATTGAAGACAAATGTTAGGAACCAATCAATGGTAGCGGGTTGGGGCGGTGGGGGTAGGTGGTGTGTGGAAATTCAAATTATTTTCTGCTGAATGTACCCACAGTGGTGAATATGTCCTATTTTGGATTCTCTTTTGCCTACAAGTTTGGATAAGTAGACAGGGCCAGAAAGCTTGATGTGTTATTTCCTCACAGTTCTTGCTTCCCATCTAGTTATAAAAAAGTTCCAAAGGCAATTTTTTTCTAAAAACTACAAAGACTTTAATCTTCTGCCTAGAACTTATTTGTCACAAGAAGATTTGGGTATAACATCTAAATGAGTCATTGCAGTATGCTGTAACACATATTATGGTACCACAGAAAACAAATCCTGCCTTCTTGTAGGTTCAAACAAATCAAGTTGAGGATTTCCTCCTCGCTTCTTGTAGCCCTGGGATTGACCTAACGGTCTTCCATTTTCTACCGTGGATAAGAGTTTTTATTCTTCAGTTCACTTGTCTCTTCATGCCATTATTTCAAAAGGCAATTTTTCAACTGTCTTGTCTTTAGAGTGACCTTCCTGTAACTTTTCTCCTTCTTGGGTATGTCTGCACCTCATTGGGTTTTTTGGCTTGAGCAGGCTTTGGTGATTTATTCTCTCTCCAGTCTTTCTTCTTCCAATTACATTACTGGAGCACTTTTATTGCAATTCTTGTAATTTCTATGTGGGCTACTGTATTCCCTATAAAATACATCTCATGCTCCTATTTCCTATTACTCGATAATGTGCTTTATGACTTTCTACTGTTAGCTGTGGCCTAGGTTAAGAATTCCCTGTCTGAAGGTTTGCCACTTCCCATTCCTTTCCATCAATTTAGGATTAAATTTTTTCTTTCACTTCCAACCACCATCCATCTCCTGTGTGTGGATGCTTGCATTAACAGAGATTTTCTTGTCTTCATCCTCAACTTTTGGTCCAAAATACAGTTGCAAGAAACATTTACATCACTAACTTAAAAGAGTGCACCTGGATCATGATTTATAGAAATTTTGTTTTCTAACTCCTATCTTGATTTTTAAAAATCTTCTGCATCTGTCCTTCCCGAATTCTCAAGTCTTTTTGTGAGGTTTCTTAGGCCCTGACAATTGTTGGGCAAGTGGGAATTCTGCTACTTGCTTTCTTCCATGCATTTTTCCTGGGGAATTAACTATAAGCTGGAGAGCCTGCCATCAGGGAGCTGACATTTTAGGGTAAGACAATTTCAGATGCTGTTAACCAGGGTTGAATACACATGTAAGAGATGAACTGGGTGGGAGCTTATAGGTGATAAAAATGGTCATCTGTGCCTGGCTTCTATATAGCGAGCACTCAATTATTAGGCTCAATGTTTAGTCATGTACAATATATGGTAAGTATCTTGAAATCACTATTTGGCTGAGGAGTCATTGCATTGTCTTTAATACTATATCTGGAACAGTCCTGGGTTGAGAGAGACTAACATGGCATGATGCCTAAAAGCCACACTTACCCCTGATTAAAAATAACTATCAATGCCATTATTGCTACAGATGGGGAGATTTTAATCTGGACCATATAAGGTAACAGGGTTGTATCAATGTTAATTTTCTTGATTGTGATCATTCAGTTGCAGTTATAAGAATTTCCCCATTTTCAAAATATTAGGTGTGAAGTGTCATGAGGTAACATACTCTCAGATGGTTCATAAAAAAGTAGATCTCTAGGGGCCTCCCTTGTGGTGCAGGGGTTACTGTCTCCGCACTGCCAAGTTATCTCCAGTCACTGCGGCGTAAGTTTGATCCCCAGCCAGGGAGCTGACCCACATGGAGCAGCAGACCTCTCCTGTCTTGCCCGCTGCTCCCCTCAGCGTTGTTCAGTAGCTCTGCCTGTTCTGCTCCCCACTCTGTCTCTGGTGATTCCTCTCACCCCCTGAAGCCTCTGGCCTACACCTCAGTTCTTGTATGCATAAATAAAAATTAAAATTAATAAAAAAGTAGATCTCTATACTGAGAAAAACATGCACACACACACACACACCCCTTCAAAGTGGTGCAAATAATGTGCCAGAATGTTCAGAACTAGAAAATCTAGGTGATAGGTATATGGGTACATTCATTCATTATATTATTCTTGTATCATTTCTAGCTTTGTATATCATTGTAGCTTTGAGATATTCAAGTACTGAGATATTCAAGAAACTCAAAGTTGGGGAAAAAAACAAAAAGTAAAATACTTTAAAACTACCTCCAGTGGATTTTGAAGAAAAAGTCAGAGAAGAAAGAATTCAGAAATCAGTTCTGAAACCAAACACAAATACTTTTTATTTATGGGATATCATTTTACATTAATTCCATTAAAACCTAAAACCAGTTCGCTGTACTCAAGTTAGGTGGCATAACAGTATTTTAGTTAAGCTGGGAGTCACAGGACTTGCACACGTTTATGAATGTAATGCAAATACTGACGACACGAAGCATTCACAGTTACAGGCTGGCTGCTGTTCATTTAACAGTAACCCCCGAGAGAAATTATTTTATGAAAAAAAGCAACCCAACATTTTGGTCTCATTTACAGACACCCAACATTTTAGTTGGTCAATGAATTCTATACATTTATTATACAACATGTGAAAGAATAAAAGATAAGGCTTACAGAGGTATTTTAGCAGTTGTAAGAATAAAAACCAAGGGCACAAACTAAGTTTTAAAGCTTTCTGTATAAACTTCAAAAGCACTGTTAACATGGCGACTGAGAGGCAACAGAAATTTGTTATTAAACTAGAGTCTAGAGGTTTGTCTACTTGTCAGATTTATAAAAACTTAATTCAGAGTCCATGCTTCAAAAAAGCTGCATGTAACATTATAATGGATGTTTATGGCAAATCAAATCATGACATTTCTGACCTACCGCAGCAGTAAACATCTAAGTGCTACATTCCAGTACGAGAATACAGCAGTGTGGAGAACGAAACACAACGGGAATAGGGGAAAGGGTATAGACTCAGGTGATAAAGGAAAACCAGAAAAAGGCACCCAATTTATTTAACATTAGCCAGTAAGTGCGTGCTTGATGACTGCTCAATTTTATATAACTAGGGTATATATTTTTAAAAGTTTCTTAATGTTCTGTCTGATCCCTTTTTTCTTCCCCTAACAAATAACTACATAAAATCCAGAAGACCCAGGGCAAACACTCTGCAGGCACAAAGGCTTCTTTTTCAGGGGACCTTAAAGTATTCAGAGTTTTCTAGTTGTGCAAGATTTCCCATTCAGAATACTTACTTTGATATTATACTTCTTAAAATCTAAGTTTTTACTTGGGGTTTCCCCCATCATCAAAACATTGTGGATGAAATACAACATTTTCCCGGCAACAACTCTTTTATTTTAGGATTAACTGTGCTTAGTGTTTAAAAAAAAAAAAAGTTCTCCATTTTCTTTAACTTTTAAAAAGTTTCATCTGTGATTTATGTTTGCTTTAAGCAAAACTCTATAGTTGATCATATGTAAGAACTGTAGCTTTTAAAGTGTGATTGTTTCAACTTTATGGGATACTTCTGAAGAAGATTCAAGTTAAGTTCTCCACAGATTCAAAGCTGCCGATAGCGCATCACCACCGAACACATACCCACCCTGGGGACAGACACCCTTTCAACACATTGGCCTTAACAGCTGTGCTTGCCATCAATATCTCCTATTCTTTTCAGATATTAACTTTGTGCAATCTGGTGTGAATCTGTAAGGTAAAAGTGAGTCTAAAATTCCTAAGTGAGTAATAATTAATCATTATAGAGTTTTAGAAACTTCTGGCTTATTTCACAGCAAACCAAACCCTTTTATTTGGTAGAAGAAGGAATATCATTCTACCATATCACGGTTTTGTATAAGCACACACACATCGTATATATACACAAAATGTCTGTCTTTGGTGGTTCACTTAGGGAAAAAAATTATCCGACAATCTGAACACTGTTTGCAAAGAAATTATGAAAGAGTGGTCAAGAGACATGTCTGTGTGCTTCACTCATTTAATGTCATTTAAATGTTCACATTAAATCAAAAAGATATTTTGGCTAAATTTCAAAGTAATCCAAACCTCTATCAATCACTACATGCTCAATCATGGATCTTGCTCAGATAAAACTATAGTATTTGCTTGTTCAAATGCACCATTTAGCTTTTTACGTAGTTTAAATCATTAGTCTTTTGTGTTTTCACAAAACTTTAGGGACTGAATTAGTCTTTCAATAGCACCAGATAGTTGAAGGGAAAACATGTTATCTATACATTCCTCAAGCAGGATATGGCAGGGGAAAAAAAAAAAAAGACATAAAATACAAACCTAAAAATACCATCCTGTTTATTCTTGTTTCCTCATCCACATAAATAATGGCTATCACCTTTCTGTACAAATTACTCAGGTAATGACGAGTGGCCCCTCCAGGAAAGGTCCTACCGTGTAATAGAGTTAGCGCAATGCTGGTGGTTTCGTGTCCACTGCCTGCAATGGACATTCTGCCAGGAAAAGCCTAGCATAAAAGAAACAAAAAAGGAAAACAAAACAAAACACCTCTCATTTATAGTATAGTTTTTTCCAAAAAGCTAGAAAATTAGACATCATGAAAGCTTAAAAATTCAAGCCACAACTAAAAGTGCTCTGCAGTTATAAATTGCCAGCAAACCGTTAGGTTTTCATGGAGGCGGCAAAATAAATTTTACTTAATATGGCATAGGAAGAAGCATCAGCAGCCCAAACACTGACTAGAAAGAATGCAAAAGAAAAAGAGAAAGAAAAAAAAAACCCTAAAGAAAGCTCACAAGAGTTCAAACTCCATAAAAAAGGTGCAATTTTAATTTGTTCATTTGTACCTATATTCAAATTACTACAGCTTTAACATTAGAAAATAAAAAAACAAAAACACAAAACTATACCTTGCATGGTGGAAATGATTTGTGGCATGGAACATAGCTGCATTTTCAAATAATTATAACTTTCATCATTTATTTTAAATGCTAATATTTAAGAAAAACAAATTATATTTGGCATATGCCTCTGAAAAGTTAGGACTCCCACCTCCTTCCAAAAGTTGGCCTCTTCAACAGTAAGGTTAATTCTGGCAACATTTGCTTACGGTAACAGTTGTTCTGTCTTGTTTTCTGAAATGCTACATTTGAGACCAAATAAAGTACAATTGGATCATTTGAAAAAAGGGACTAGAAATATGCCACAAAAATTATTTTTACAATACATTTTTGCAGAAATAATCTCTAGGTGAAGCTTTTTTTTATACACATATACAAAATTTAAACAGCAATATACACATAATCACAGTGAGGACGTTGGCAAATTCACCAATCTGTAGTGTAAATACAACTGCAAAGCAGCCTTCCAAGAGAACAATGCTACACAGCAAGCAGAGCTGGCCCATTCAATAGCAAACACCAAAACGTCCCTGCAAAAGGGAGATAGTGCAAGAAAAGCAGCATGCGCTTTGATACAAACAGCAATTTATGGCTAATGGTTGACATAACTGTGGTAACAGTGACTCTCTCGCTGCTATGCATAAAGTCCTAGGACATCTGTTTGTCTTTATACCACTCCACAAACTCGTCCAACAAAACTGGCCCTGAAGAGAAAGAGAAAACAACACAGCTGTGAGGCTTTTTCACAATGAAGAAGAGATGCAAGTGGACAGAGATGGGCAGGAGTGGATGGCGTCGCCGCTACTTACACGCTCCATCTTCATCGTAGTTGCTGAGGTCAAGATTAATTGTTCTGCTAAACTCCAGCACATTGCACCACTGGTCTTTGTTAATAACTTTATATTTTGATTGCTGGTGAAGGGAAAAGGAATATGAATTATTGACACAATTAACAAATGGGACAGTTTCAACTGCTAAATCAACTCAATAAAGTTCATGATGCTTATTTACACTCTTTCCATTTGAGGTGTGCTGAGCACCCAACTAGGAAAATGGTTACAGACAGCAAGATGACAATTTTTGTTACAAAAATATTATATGGGGGCCCAACAGAAAATGACAAGCACATCAAAGGAAGACAACTTTATATTCCTAGAGGTAAAATTTCTGGACTACAGAAGTCCTTTTATAGCAAATGGAGGTAATATCTACTTCATAGAGATGTTGCAGGAGATAATTTATGTGTTTTATGTAAAATACCTCATTTGGTGCTTGACAAAAAGTTAAGTGCTAAGTAAAAAACAGCTCCCCGCGACAGTCCCTAACGTGACTGGCACGCTCATATGAAGTCAGCTTTAAACACATGAGGCAGTGAAGACACCAGAGGAGAATTAACTAAGTGCTGCAAGTGGTCTCTGCACTAGGTGTTCTTGCGGTGGAAGAAAATTACAGTTCCAGTAATTAAAAACTTGAGTGCCATCATAGAAGAAATTAAAATAGCCACGAAGTGATTTTTCGATTTCTCTTAGACAAGAAATATGCCATATGTGTATTTTAAAATGGAGTATTCCTGCATAAAGATTTAAAAATAAAACCAGATATGACAATTCAAAAATCCTAACCACTGATCTCAGGAACACTGGAAAACAATACAGTATGTACTGTAAAAAGCAAAGGGAACTGAGCCAATGATTTTGAGGATACAAAGACAAGAAAAGCCAAATCAAAAGATAACTGTGTCCTATTAAAGGAAAAATGCAAATTAATATGAGAGAGAGAACAAAGCACAGAATACAAGTTTAAGTTTCTAAGCAACTAAAAGCAAAACCAGTCACTGAAACACTTGATGCTGCTCCTAGAATTGTGCAGTGAAATTTGCCTGTGGCAGGTCTCTCAGCCAAAGAATGCTTCACACTCCAGCCCGATTCTGCTAAACTCTGAGAACAAGAAGCTATTTCTGTTTCTTTTACAAATAGAGCTAACTTATTTCTGGGGTTGGCAGAGAAATTAGAGCAGACCATTTGTCGACATGGGCTGTATGTAAACAAAAAAATACTCCTTATATTTTAACAGGCTTTTATACTTTTCTTGAGCTCAGAGTCCCAGTTAGTAATATTATAAGTTTTAAAATAGTAAAACACAAGTTTTAAAAACAGCCCTCAAAGAACATCTGTTGGAAGTTTTTCTGGACTATTCCTTAAAGTATGTTATAAGACAGATTATTTCAAGAGGCGGGGCAAGACTCAGGCTTTTCTCAAGACCCTCATATCCTTTCAAGCAAAGGGCATTTTAAAGAAGGATATGCCCTATATGACAACTCAAGGAAGTCAAACTTACAACTCAGATACCTCGAGGTCCTACAGTATCACACTGCATGAAAACCAGTTCCTAAGAACCAGCAGCTTAAAAAGTTCCCCATCATCATACTTAAAGCAAAGCAACAATGATGGAATTCTAGAGTGCCATATTATCTTTAATATAAATGTGAACAAAGTTTAATTTAAGGAGATACTGTCAGTTTGCCTAATACGTAGCTAGTTCTAAGCCTCCAAGTTACTGGGAGATAAGAATACATTACAACCTTATTTTATTAAGAAGGCAGATGAATGTTTTTTAACCTTTGCTTAATAAAAGTGGACACTTATCTAAAGGCACAAATGGAAGTAAATCTTTACAACTTTTATAAAAGCAGACAATCTAAACAAAAGTAAAGCTTTTAAAATAGGGGTGAGAAAGGAAAGAACAGAGCTGTGACTGGTTCTGATGCATCTGTACCAAGGTGTAATGCCATACAACATCCAATTCTCACAGATACACTCAGAGGAAACAGGGAGTTGCTCATGGACAGCAATTTTGTCACCATACTTCCTACAGGCAGAAAAGTACAACAAACAAAAATATTACATAAAATGCTTAAGTTAAATATTATTTGGTAGTTCTTAGCAAGCAAACATACATTACAAAAAATAACAATTTGGTACCTCTAAGAATTGGTGAAAAACTGGAAAAAGGGGCCAGATTTTTCCTAATAACAGTCCCAACATGCACTTGGCAGTGTTTATGTCTAGGCTGCGCTGGTCCTTTTCCTGTTTAACAAACAAAAACAAGGATGAGCCAGATGCCCCCAAATAATAAATTCCAGTAATCCAAATTTGTTTTGAACTTCAACAAGAAATCAGTAAATAGCTCATTTATCACACACCATAAAAACCCCGAATTAAGACTAAGGAGGTGGTAGGGGAGTAAGCTGAACAAAATGGAAAAGCTTTGTTTTGGTAATATACAAATTTATTGTGAGAAAGACCCATGTCGACTGAAAGATCACCTTAACAGAAAGTCAATTAGTTACATAGTAACGTATCTACAATTATTTCATGGGATAAATAAAAATCTGTAATTCAACCATCACTTGCTGTTTGACACTTATGATAATTACCCAATTTATAATTATTGACTCAAACATCCATAACCCAACTAAATGGAATTTAAAGGTTTTGATTTCCATGCTTAGGAATCAGGTTTCCTTAATAAAAATCATTTTCCAACAATTTTATTTCATTGATAAATGTCTTAATAGGAATTAAATTCAGCTCATAATAAATGCTGGACTTTGGAGAATCTCTCCAAGTAAGAGGATGAATTCACCCACCCAAGCTGGGGGAAAGTCATCTGTTACAGTCTCCCTTACCTTGGATTTGTCAGGTGAAAAATCGCCTAGCAATAAATGCCTAACTAGTAACCAAGTGAAAGACAACATTTCATAAGGAAACCAAAAAGGAATAATACAAGAGCCTGAATTTGGGCAGATTAACCTCACTCCATTTACATCTGCAAATAAAAACCCTCATTTCTCATTCTCTTCTTCCTTTCAAGTTTCCCAATGAGTAGTTTGTCTGAAAAGGAACATAGGACCTAGGTTGGGACGAATGGTGACTTTACACAGCCCAAGTTGGCCTTCATGTGGTATCTTAATGACAGTGGCAAGTTGCAAAATTACTTTTCTATGAATGGTTCCTGGCTACCCCCTTTGACGTGAAATGTAAATGTTCACCAAATTACGGGATGACGCCGTCACCACTGTCAGCCACACATGCAGCCACACATACCTCCAGAAAAAAAATAAATAGTTACTTCAAGGACTCTAATGCAAAAGTATTCTTTTTTACACAGAGAATTTCTGATGATTACACTGGATTTAACAATACAGCAAATGTAAGGGGCCTGCTCAACACGAGCACACACAGTAGATGAAGGTACAAGAAGACGTGGGATAGGTCTGTCTTCTGGGCCCAGTCATAGAGCGTGACGACCATTCAGAAACAGACCAGGTCAGATGGCTCCGCGTCATCCTGCTGTTACCAGCCACACGGGTCAAGTCTGATGATGGTGGGGGGATCCCAAGTCCACAGGCGGGGCCCCCTTTCCACATATTCCATCTGTCCCTCCGCCATGCCTGCCGTCCTGCGCAGGGCGGGCGGCAGGACCCAATCCCGAGGAGAGGGCGGTAGGAAAGGGACTCTATACACTGCCCAACTTTGTGAACCAAGCTTCGTTGGTTTGTCACCCTCTGAGGGCTTGTGCTTATGTGCTGCACTGTGCAAGCAAATGGAAAACTTCCTCTCACCCGTAACACAGGTGTGGCAGACAGCAACAGCACACCACGCTATGAAGCACTCCACAAGAAAACGAGCAAACTGTTAGAGACACCTGAGGCACCACAGGACTGGGCCCACGTTCTCTGTTGAGCAGCAGCTCGTGCAGCCCTGGGCCGACGATGCTGGTGCTCTGCAAAAGCCCTCCTTCTGAGGAGTGTGGCATTCATTCACCAAACCTCCGATAGCTAGTCTTGCCTTGAGATGTTTGTGCCTTCTTCCAACATTGTCAATGCCTGTCCTCATCACAAGGGACATACACTAAAGTGACAAAAAAATTAAAAAAAAAAAAAATAGATACGAAGGACCTGGACAGACTCTTTGCAACAATATAATCATCTGACAAACTGATGATCATGAAGGATTTCAATGCATGTGTTTGGCAGTGGTGCCAAAACATGGAGGAGAGGCAGCAGACTCACAGGCTCGGAAAGCTGAACCGCACTCACTTACTCCTGCTCTGCAAGGGTGCCAGCCAGCAGCTCGCAATCACTAACACCATCTTCTGCCTAGCAAATAAGAGAAAGATATTATGGATGCACTCAGGATCTGAACAGTGGCAGCGCGCTGATAACCAACATTGCCTGTGGATGGATTTGAGGCCAAGTGCAATGACCGTAACTGGAAACACTCCAAGTTCCTGGGAACAATACAGTAGAGAGATCCCACAGCAAACATCTATTAAATAGCAAAGAAGACACGCCCTGAGGCTCTCTGACCATGATCCTAATGGAATTCTCTGCAAAGGGGTTCTCAATTATAAGTGACATGAGTCTCCCAGGATGCTATGAGGCAGCCATCAACATTATGGGCATTAAAAAAAAAAAAAATCAACTTAACAAATTCAAGGAGTACAGCAACGGCATCTAGAAGCTACTCACAAGAAATTAAAATAATACACTATCAACACCCTGTGACCCTCTACTCACTGAGCACCAAGGACAAGGGGCAGATTTCTGCATCCTAAGGTCAGAACCTAAGCAGAAAGTACCTTGAGACAGACTGTCAAGAGTCAATCAGCATGTCCAGAAAGCCCACCAAGGTTACAGGAGGGAATGGAACTTTCCTCCCTGCCTACCTCTTGACCCAAGATGTATAGGTATATATTTCATAAACTTGAGCTTTCTAAGATAACAAATTAAAAAACAAGGTCATTTTTCAAAAAATAATATGAACTGAATAGGTTCTTTGTAATGAAGCTGCACCAATGCCCTAGACACACAACTTGATCTGGCCTTGTTGTCTTCCTTAAACACAGATTAAAACAGGAGTTCCAGATGAGATCAGACCTCTTACAGTGCAGCTGCAAAAGCAAAGGATCCTACTCTGAATTGCATAATCTAGGGAGGTATGTTCTGTATATGGAAGAAGTTCACTCCTCAAGCTAATAACAGATCATGTGGAGGAAAGAAAAATTACATTTTATGAAGGTCTGATTTGGAGTTCTAATATGAAAAAAAGTCTTTGTTTATGTAAGACTATTCGAGTATAGGGCATGCTGTGAAATGTGGTATTTCTTTCTTAGATGGCACAAATCACTGAAACAAAGTAATTAAATAATTCATTGTAAATATGTAAATCAAAATGCATTACAAAAGTGAATCTTCAAATATGTGTTAATAGTTATCCAGATATGGGCCTCCCTGGTGGCGCAGCGGTTGAGTGCTGGGTTGCGAAGCTGCCCGCGGCCTCCGCGGTGCTGGTTCGATCCCCGGCTGCTCCCCGGCCACCGGAGGAGGGTCCCACATGGCTCGCAGACCTCTCCTGACGCCCGCTGCTCCCCTCAGCAGTGTACTTCGGTCCTTCTGCCTGCTCTGCTCCCCGCTCTGGCTCTGGTGAATTCTCTCACCCTCCCGCGCTTCTGACTGTACCCAGTGCTTGTATAAACAAAACAAACAAATAAATAATAAAAAACATGCCTCTATAAAATTAAAAAAAAAAAATAGTTATCCAGATATGCAATATCAGAGGCCCCCAATGTTTTTAGATGCTTTATTTCAACTTTCACAAGTTTCTATAACTTAAAGAGTGATTTATGAAGAATGGAACTTTGAATTATTAAAATTGAAGAACAAAATCTTCACCGGGTGAAAAAAACCACTAAGATTTTCAAGAGAGACTAGTTGGGCTCCAGAAACAATATGTAAATGACCATGATTGATAAACTTTAAGTGGTGACAACAAAATCAGAAATTGACATGTGAATTAAAAATTCCTAAACAGAAATTCTCACTTGAGACTACAGGGGTTACAAAATACAAACGGAGGGCCTTCCTGGGGCACAAGGGGTTAAGCACAGCACTTTGAAGCTATCCGCAGCCTCTGCAGCATGAGTTCGATCCCCAGCCAGCCAGGGAGCTATCCACATGGTGCAGCAGACCTCTGCTGTCTCACCCGCTGCTCCCTTCAGCAGTGTATTTGTTAGTCTGCCTTTTCTGTTTCCCACTCTGCCTCTGGTGAATCCTCTCACTTCCACATCTCTGGCCTGTACTCCAGCTCTTGTTTGCATAAATAAATAAATCTTTTTTAAAAAATGTAAAATAAATACTACCCTGAAGTAGATGAAACTTGCTTAAACACTTTATAAAAGAAAAGTATTGAGGGCCTCCCCGGTGGCGCAGCTGGTTGAGTGCTGTGCTGTGAAGCTGTCTGCAGCCTCTGCAGCAGCAGTTCAATCCCCGGCCCGCCAGGGAGAAACCCACATGGTGTGGCAGACCTCTCCTGCTCCCCTCAGCAGTGTCTTCAGTCCATCTGCCTGTTTTGCTCCCCGCTCTGTCTCTGGTGAATCCTCTCACCTCCTGCACCTCTGGCCTGTACCCCAGTTCTTGTATGCATAAAGAAATAAATCTTTTTTACAAAAAAAAAAAAACAAAATGCAAATGAAAAATGCAGGTCTCCTTAACACAGCTAAGTAAATAAACATAAGGTAAAAATAGAGTTTGAATCTTAACTAATGACTTGATACACTGCAAATCCATTTTTTGAATGGGAGATTTTATTTTTTAAATCATGTTTAAAAAAAGTCATAAAACCCAAGAGTACCCTTCATTAGGAAAAATGAAGCTAGATAATTATGCTCTTACAACTCAGCCAACATTAGTTTACAGAAAACAATGTTTGCCTAGCAATTACTTAATTAAGCTCAAGACTGACACTTCTTTTAAAACAAAAGAAAAAAAATCTGCCAACAAGAACAGTCTTTGTCATTTTATTTGTTACAGATTCTACTACTCTAAGCACCATTCTTGGACAATAAGTCATTACTTGAAACTTGATGTTTACAGATACCTAAGTAAATGTCAGTGGAGAATAATTAAACAATTTCAAACTTGATGGTTAGCTTTTATTGAGAAATAAGTTAATTTGAATGAGAAATTGTTCTAAGTGCCTTTATACTCATTCATTTAATACAAGAATCCTATTAGCATGGCCAA